TGGCACTCAGTGATGGGCCTCACATGCAGTAGTTACTACTATGGAAGCTAGGTGCGACCGTGCAGGTTTGTGTGAGTCACTCAGTGACATTTGCACAATGACAAAGCAGCTTCATGATGCGTTCTCAGGACATGTCCCTCAGGCTGAACTCCAAGCTGGGGACCCCATCTAGCTGGAGACGGTGGAGTCCAGGTTGGTATTCTGAGGGTCCAGTCCTGGACACGGTGCATCCCGTGTATTCAGCAAGTCTTTGACTTCAGTGGAAGTCGGGTGGGACAATCAGGCCGGTCTCATCTGAGGCTTCCCAAAATGCATTTCCATCCCCGCCCCCACTTTGATCTCTCTTCCTGAGGGACCCACAGGCTCCACATCTTCTACACATTCCAAACTTGCTCTCCTTAAGTCTGAGTCTAGGCCAAGTTCTCCATCTAGGGATGTGAAGATTGTCATCTGTTGCCCTCGCACCTGGTGCTCATGTGTGTCTGTCTTGCTTGTTGGAGCTGTCATACCCAAAAGTCATAAACTGCACAATTTGTAAACAATAACAAATCTATTTCCCATAGTCCTGGAGGTTGGGAAATCCAGACACCAGCAGAGTTGATGTCTGACAGGCCTGGCTTTCTGGCACTCAGATGAGGGTGCCTTGTTGGAACCTGTACGTGGAAGGGTTAAAAAAAAAAAAAAAAAAAGTGAGGGAGTTCTCTGGGGTCTCCTTCTTAAGGGCACTAAAGTCATTCAGGGGAGGTCCCGCCTCATGAGCCAATTGCCTCCTGTTGAGATTGATATACTGTGTCAACATGAGTCTAGACGCTTTACTAAGTAACACAGCAGTTCTACATGCTCGGTGGAAAGGACCTGCCCTTAAGGCACTGTGGCAACTTGAGAAACTTAGAGGGTTGGCTAAGTGACTCAGCAGGGGCCAGGGCCTTACTTTGCACTCATCCAGGGCCTGTGCCAGAGGAGGTCATGGAGGTGGTGTGAGTGGGCAGACTGCTTAAGGGAGGAGCAGAGGCTTGCTTCCTCCCCTTGTGCTCGTGCTGCTACTTCTGTCTTCTGTCGCCTTGGCCTGCTGCCCCTGTGCCATGTGCCACCCCGCCTTGGAGCCAGCTTGTTACAGACTGAAACCTCCACACATTGTGAACTAAACAAATCTTTCCCTCCTTCATCTTAGGCGTTAGGTATTTTGTGTCAGCAAGGACAGAAAAGTAATGAAGACACTTCCCAAAGGTGTGGTGTCCACACACATCACGTTGGAGGTCGGGGTTCAAAGATGAATTTTGGAGGGACACACTGCTCAGCTTATACTGCTGGCCAGGGAGAGCGCTGCGCTTCTGCGTCTACTTCTAACTGCCAGACGCAATCTCAACCCTGACACAGGATCTTGCAAAACCCTTTTTGTCCTTCCCTCCTCCAACTTCTCATTTCCCATTTTTAGGTTGTCCCTGCCTGTTTCTGAAAGGGTCACTGAGCCACTTTCTGAATTTACTCCCCTCATTCCTCTGAACCATGAGCACCCACTGACCATAGTTCTCAAGGTCTAACCAGAAAGCCTTCTTCAGCTCCTTCCTCCCACCTCTCACCTTGCAAAGACTTTACAACTTCTCAGATCTTGTTCATCTCTTAGCTTTCTATATTGGATCTAGAGACCAGGTCAAGGGGCTTAATAAAGGCAGTATGGTGGGTCTGCGGCCACACATGGGCCTATTGGGTCATCCTGAGGGTGAGTGAACACAGCCAGGAGCTGCTTCTAGACTGACTTCTGTTCCCTCTCCCAGGCTTAACAGGAAACTTCCTTTTTCAACTTCCGCACGCCAGCCCTCCCCCAATCAGCTCCTGCTGTGTCACTGTACGGCCCACATAAACTCGGCCCCTAGCCCAATCCAATAAAAGCTCCCACGTCTGTCTCTGCCTCCAGGATCTCCGGCCTCCCTTTTGGCCGCCCTCATGTGCCTGGCAATAAAGAATTTCTTCGTTTTCACCCACTTCTCTTTCACGCCAGAGGATGGAACTTTACACAGCAGAGATCAGCAGTTCACCATTTTCCCTTTTATAATAGCTAACAGGAGCTTCCAAATGTCTGTTAATGAGTGGAGGACTATGTAGCCATGAAAAGGACTGAAATATTCTTCTGCAACACGGATAAACCTGAAGAGTATGACGTTATATATTATATAGGTCATGCTTTCTCTTGGTCTTAACCAAAGTTCAGCAGAAAAGTATAAAAATGAGGTGTAAAAGGCAAAGCCATGTTAATATGCTCAACCATAGGAGGCCCGTGTCAACAATTGCTGACATTGCCAGTCCTGTGGTAACCCACTACTATTATGGACTGCTGGGCTATATTGGTTTGTTTTGCTGAATTCACACACCTACAATAGTTAAACGGCAATGGAATACCCTTCTGTGACAAAACTAATCAAGAAAAGGGGATACAAGTGAAGGACCATTTTGTATCTGTATATTCACAATAGGATAGATATACAGCTACTTTCTCTTAAGTCAATGAGAAGAAAGATTTGTTCTAATGGTGTTTGTGGACAGGATACCATGTCTGCATCTTGTACTATGAGTAGCCACTGTGAAGACAATGTGCAATATATTAACTATTGAAACTGTCCTACTAATCAGTTTTGAAACTGTCTCATTGCTATTTGTTTCTCAATAAAATTGTTTTTAAAAAGTAAAGTGAATACACTAGAGCGATACCCATGTGCACCGCACCTAGCTGACCACAGCTGAGCTGCACAGAGTCTTACACTCATCCTGAGGTCAGTGGAAAAGGGACATGGGGTTGATGTACACAGTTGGATATTAGCCACAGAGAAGAAGAAAATGATGAGATTTTCAGGACAAAGGATTGAACTGGACAGTGTCATGTTAAGTGGAATAAGCCAGACCCTGAGTCAGCTACTGAGTGTTTTCTCTCATATGAGGAATTTAGAATTTCTTTTTCAATTTTTTTTTATGAGAGATGACATGAAAGTAGCAGGGTAACTACTAGAGAACAGGAAGGGAAAGACCAGGGAGGGCAGGCTGGGGGATGACGGGCAGCTGAGCAAAGCCTGCCATTCCCAGGTACTCATACGACTAGCTCAGCCCCCCTGTTCTGTGTAACTCGTAGGCACTAAAACGAGCGAGAAGCCACAGGACCATTCGGGGCCACGCCCTCGGACCCCTGGAGTCCTGGTCCCTGCAGTCCTGGTCCTCTCGGTTCCCCACTTACCCCTGAGACCCACCTCCCAGCTGGGGGCGCCGCCCCTGCGGCCTGCGCATTCTCACCAGGACTGCTCTACCTCCTCATTCCTGAGCTCTTTTGTGCTGGAGATAGCAATCCTCCAAATTTGCCCACGCAACTAAAAATATTTAAGAAACTAGAATTTGAAGAGAAAAAAAAAAATTATTACGGTTGACTTTTAAATTGTGTGGTGTCCAGTAACGGGAGAGAACGAAGTCTGTCACGTCCCCCGCTGGGCCCACTTCCCTGCAAGGAGCAGATGCTCATGTGGACACTGCCAGCGCGCGCTCACTCGGTCACCGCCGCCCTGGCCTCCGAGGGGCTCGCTGCCGTATTTTATACCCCACGTTCCCGTCACGGCTGACCTTCCAGAGCATCTAAAGCTGAGAGGACCCGCGCCGGAGGAGCTATGGATCTGGCCTCCTTGTTGGTGGCTTCCAGTGGCACCGCAGCTAGAAAGAAGAAGAGGTTGAACCCCGGAAGTGTGAGCGTAGGAGGTTCCCCATTGTGGTCACCGGACTCCCTGACTCCGAGCCCGGGCTTCTTGTGGGCCTTCCTCTCCGTCCTGTGACAGCGAGGCCCCACGGTTCTCATGCCCAGAGATGTGCTTCCCCTCCACACAACCTTCCGTCTCTGCTCCACTCAGGAACGCTCCGGCTCCAAGATGCTGCGGTGGCTGCTGTTGCCCTTGCTGTGGGCTAGTGAGTGTGCTCGGGGAAAAAGGCTGTGGGAGCTGCACAGAGCTGACTCCTGTTTGCCCACAGGATCCCTGTCGCATAATCTGGAACATCATCTGACAGCGCCAGAGTCGGTGGTGGTGCAGGAGGGACAGAGCACCTTCATCCACTGCTGTGTCTTCTACCCCAGCAAAGGCTGGAGTAGCTCTACCCCAGCTTGGGGCTACTGGTTCAAGAAAGGAGTTAATATTTACCAGGATCCTGCAGTGGCCACAAATGACCCACGTCGTGATGTGTGGACAGACACAAGGGAACGATTCCAGCTCCTTGGAGACCCCAAGGCCTACAACTGCTCCCTGAGCATCAGAGATGCACAGAGAACAGACACAGGAGTCTACTTCTTTAGGGTGCAGAGAGGAGCTTATGTGAAATATAGTTACCAGCAGAACCAGCTCTGTGTGTTTGTGACAGGTAAGGAATGAGGCTTAGAAGGCCACATAGACGGGGACTGAGGGACCCAGGGCTGGGTGGGGATGGGATCCACTGCTCCTCACCCTAGGCAACAAGGGATGGGGCACTGGGCCTGCTTGGGGGTGCTGCAATGGCCAGCCTGAGACAGAAGCAGCTCTGAGGGCCACCTATGAGGTTCCCTCCAGGCCTGGGTATCTATCTCTCTCCTCCCCACCTCTAAAAGAAACCCCTGACATCCAAATCACGGGGATCCTGGAGTCTGGTCACCCTAAGAACATCACCTGTGCAGTGCGATGGCCTTGTGAGCAGGGGGTGCCCCCCAGCTTCTCCTGGATTGGGGAGAACCTCACTTCTGTCCTGGGGCCCCAGACTCCCCGCTCTTCAGTGCTCACTCTCAGCCCACAGCCACGTGACCACGGCACCCTCCTCACCTGCCAAGTGATTTTCCCTGGAGCTGGTGTGACAATGCACAGCACCGTGCAGCTGAACGTGTCCTGTAAGTGATGGGCCAGGCCATGTTGGGCCCAGGGAGGAGGGCCAAGGGGTGGGGCCTGGGATATTGCATGCCGGGCCTGGGGAGCAAGGGCAGAGGACCCCTGGCTCCACCATCCTCTGTTCCTAAAGTGTCTGTGGAAGAATCACCGGCACCCACCTTCCTGCCACTAAGCAGGGTCCTCTTGTCTGTCTGTCCAGATGCTCCTCAGAATCTGGCCATCCAGATGTTCCAGGGAAATGACACGGGTAAGGCACAGCCTGTCCTTCCTGGGGAGGGGGCGGGGCTCAGACAGGAGCAGGCTGCAGCACAGTAAAGGTAGGATCCCTGCACCCTCCTGTCACCCTACACACATCCCCCTCTTCTCACTCTCAGGTGTGCTGTGGTGCTTTCCTTCACTCACACAACAGAGGTAGTCGTCCCCAGCCCTCTTTTTCCTTGAGCCCTATTAGATTCCCATAGTGATTTTTTTTTAAAGAATAGCGTAAAATCAATCCCAGCCTGCTTAAGCTGCCACAACAAAATACCATGGCCTGGTGACTTGGGCTCCAGATATTGATTTCTCAAGTTCTGGGGCTGGAAGCCCGAGTTCAACATGCTGTTCTTCTGGTATTATGGGGAGGTTGGCTTCCTGCTTGGTAGAAAACCACTTGTCCCATTCATTGCCCTACATGATAGACACCCACCCAAGCTCTCTGGTGTCCCTTGTAAGGAAGGCACTAGTCCCGTGCTGCACGTTTCACCCCTCAGCCCTTATCTAGTGCTAAACTACCCAAAGCACCTGTGCCCAAAGTGTCACCTAGGGAGCTTGAGATTTAAGGTATGAATTTAAGGGAAATGCATTCCAGTTTCTTGCAAAAGTTAGTAAGAATAGCATTGCCTGGGAAACAATGGAAGAGAAAAGACAGTCGCACTTGACACAAGGACAAGAAAGAGAGAGCCCTGTGCAGGCCCAGGCTCAGCCTTTCTGTCTGTCCAGGACCTGCAGCCCTGGCTGATGGCTCGTCACTCCAAGTTCAAGAGGGCCAGGCGCTGCGCTTGGTGTGTGTCGCCGACAGCAACCCCCCGGCTGCGCTGAGCTGGACCCGGGGGAGCCTGGCCTTGCAGCCCTCACGGCACCCAAGCGTTCTGGAGCTGCCTCGGGTGGACCTGGAGGACGATGGAAAATACGTGTGCCGAGCGCAGAACCGGCTGGGCTCTCAGAGCACGTCTGTGAAACTCGTTGTGTGGAGTGAGTGGGAAGGCACTTGGGGGCAGGGCACCTGCGCCCCTGCCAGGGACATGGGGAGCCCCTCTGATCCCTCTCCTTCCCAACAGGCTCTCTACGGCTGCTGGGCCCCACGTGCTCCTGGGAGGCCGCAGGTCTGCACTGCAGCTGCTCCTCCTGGGACTGGCCAGCCCCGTCCCTGCACTGGCGGCTTGGGCAGGGGCTGCTGGAGGGGAACAGCAGCAACGCCTCCTTCACAGTCACTTCCAGCTCTGCCGGGCCCTGGGCCAACAGCTCCCTGATCCTCCGAGAAGGGCTGTGCTCCAGCCTCAGGCTCAGCTGTGAGGCCTGGAGTCCCCGTAGAAGCCAGAGTGTCGCTGTCCTGCTGCTGCCAGGTCTGGCCGTCATGAAGGGTGGGGCCTGGGGAAAGGGCGAGTCGCAGGTCTGGATCCTGGGAGACTTTGGAATGAGAGAAAAGGCCTGACACATGGCAAAGTGGCTAGACTTCAGGATCCCCTGAACTTCCATTGGGGCCAAGGGCTGGGGGTGCAGGTCACATGAAGGCCGCAGACACATAAAGATGGGGACAATGGGGGGAGGACCCCATCCTGGGAGGTAGTGGGCATTCGTGCGGCTCATGGATTGGAGGAGGCTGGATGCCCAGCTGTCGGCATAGAGGCCAGAGGTCACCCCAGATCTCTCGTCTGCAGAGAAACCAGTACCCAGGACAGGAGCGGTTCAGGGAGCCCTTGGGGGAGCTGGCGTCACGGCGCTGGTCGCCGTCTGTCTCTGCCTCACCTTCTTCATGTGAGTGCTGGCCCTGGCTTGGTTGGCGGTGGTGCGCATGGTGGTGCACAGCTCAGGTCCCTGCAAAACTCGAGTCCCAGAGCTGAGGTGACCTGATGCCATGACGGCTGAGGTGACGGCAGCGACGGCTGCAGGGGGAATGTAGCCTCCTGCCACTGTGGCCAGGTCCAGGGCCCCTCCAACACCTGGCCCTGTAGGATGGAGCAACTGCTCTTCTGATGGTCTCTGAGCCCAGGCCACAGCCCTCCACTACTGCTGCCTGCAGTGAGGCCCTGCTGCGCTCCCCACAGTGAGACAGCCGGGCTGAAAGGCCCTGGTCGCTTTCTCCAGGGTGAAGATCCACAGGAGGAAAGCGGCAGGGAAAGGGGAGAGTGAGGATGGCGCCCTTCCTGTGACATGCGCCGTCTGCCTGGTGAGTGGTGAAGACCTGTGTCCTCCTGGGGTCCCTGCTGCTGCCACACCAGGGTGACCCCAGGCAGCTCACACAGCACCCCAAAATCTGAGCTCCTCTTTCCCCCAGTGTGTCTTCCTCCCCTGGATTTCTTCCTGCAGCCACAGGCTGAGCACCGGGGAGCCGCCCATCTTCTATCTCCTGCTTCATTTTGCAGAGCCAGTCACTGATTCACCAAGGCCTGGCCATTTTTTTTTTTTTTTAGTAAATTTTTTTAATTAATTTTATTGAGAAACAAATAGCAATGAAATAGTTTCAGAACAGGTTAGTTAGGACAGTTTCTATAATTAATATATTGCATATATTGTCTTCATAGTAGTTATTCATAGTACGAGATGCAGACATGATATCCTGTCCAAACACTATTAGTACAAATCTTCCTTCTCATCGATTTAAGAGGAAGTAGCTGTATATCTATCCTATTTTCTATATACAGATACAAAATTGTCCTTCATTAATATCCCATTTTTGTTTAGTTTTATCAGAGATGGGAATTCCATTGACATGTAAATACTGTAGATGCATGAATTCAGCAAAATAATTCAATATAGTCCAATAGTTGGTCAAGCAATGGCCGTGTTTCAATCACATGGCTGACACTGACAAAGGATCTGCAAACTGTAGTACAGGGTTTCAGGGTAAATCCTGAGGGGATTTGACTGACTTTGTCAGATACAGACTTGTATTTCTTGTTATATAGGTCTTGCTTTATCTTGGTCTTAACCATCCAGCAGAAAAGTATAAACACGAGGTATAAAAAGTAAAGCCATATTAATATGCTGAGCTGTAAAAGACTCAAGTCAACAACATCTGACATTGGCAGTCCTACAGTTAACCCACTACTATTAAGGCCTGGCCATTTTTATGTTAAGCAAAGCTTTTCTCTGTGTACCACTCTCCTGCTGAGCCCCTGTGTCCCTCGCCTGCTCCCTGTGTGGGTCTGTCCTCCTCCTGGGAAAGACCTTGCAGAAAAGTCCTCAGAACACCTCTCTGCTTCCTCAGCACCATCCAGATCAGCACTGCCCAGTCGACAAAGAAATGGTGCACCAGGGACAGAGGTGGAGGTCATGGTGGGAAACTTGCTAGGCTACTTGAGGCCCTGGGTTCAGTCGTTAGTCACACACACACACACGCACACGCACACGCACACACACAGTCAGGCAGCCATGCTCCACAGACAGGACAGAAATTTTTCTACTAGCCATATTTAAAAGCAGAGAGATCCCTGTGAGATCAATTTCATCTCCTTTTCAAGAGAAAATAAAATAGCAAAGAAAAAATTAGAAACAGTACAGAATTTCACTCAACAAAAGAATAAGAATTTGACAATGGTTGTTGTGTTGCCTAATGTTATCTTCAAAGTAGTGCCTTAGGATACCAGATATAAACATGTAAACTTTTTTTTTAGAAGTAATAAGAAATTTAAGAAAGGGAAGAAAAAGAAAATGGAAGCGTCAACTTCTTATGTAGTCCAGGCTGGCCTTCAACTCAGTTTGTAGCCCAGGTTAGTCTCAAAATTGCAAAGGTCCTCCCGCCTCGGCCTCCTGAGTGCTGGAATGACAGGCGTGCAACACCATACCTGGCTGTGAGATAAATTTCAATAGGATATGTCATTGCATCAAACATAGGCAAAGTATTATGTTTCTAAATATTATCAATAATCAATATTCAAATCATGAATACGCTATTGTACATCCTTTTTCTTTTTTTATTTTTAAAAATACTTTTCTTTTTTTTCCCCATAATTTTATTGATAAACAAATGGCAATGAAACAGTTGCAAATCAAATCGGTAAGACAGTTTCAATAACTAACACACTGCATACATTCTTCCTAGTGGTTAATTGCTGTACAAGATGTAGACTTGA